ATTTTTACTTTTAATAAGGAAAATTAAAAAATAAAAAGACTGCCTGCGGCCACCGTTCCTCCCGTAACCTAGCTGAGTAATGGCGGCTTTCGGGTTTCAGTTCGAACCCACAGACCTGGAAATCATCGTCTTCCTTGTCAAAAGAGTCACAGGATACGCTGGAGACGACGATTCTATCAAGACCGACAATCTGTACGGCCACAGGGAACCGTGGGAGATTTTCGGAGACGACGATCACACAACGAGGCGCTACTTCTACAGCAGTCTCACCAAAAAGACTGCCGGCGGCCACCGTTTCTCCCGTAACGTGGGAAAGGGCACGTGGACCAACAAAGGCCAGGCCACTCCCGTTCTTTCTGTCGACCGACGGGTCATCATCGGTTACCGGAGAACTTTCCGGTACCAGACGAAGGCTATGAGTAATTCCGACAAGGGTTCGTGGCTGATGACAGAGTACGTGCTTCCTGATACCGCCATCAAGTCCAATGACATCAAAGAAGAGTACAAGAATTTCGCGCTGTGTGTTCTCAAGAAGAAAACCAAGAAGATTGTTAAGCCACGTGTTGGGAGCGGATTGGGTGATTTTGGCGTGGAGGGTTCTTGTTCATGCGGCGTTGTGGCTTCTCTTTCTGATTGTGGGGACCAGACGAGTCTATGTGCGCCCCTGCCACAACCGGGTGATCACGACAAGCGCCTACGTGTCGAGAGCGAATTTGTTGATTTTGGCGATGTGGGGTATTCTTCTACATGTGGTATTGGTGTCATGCCACGACCGGGTGATGATGTGGATTTTGGATGTGTGGGCCCGGAAGAAGTACAGGCAGATGAGGATTGGATACATGAACTAGAGGAGAGTATTATGGAGGATCAACATGATGACGTCATGAAGGATGCTGCTGCCGAATGTCCCGATCGAGAAGAGGGTGATTCGAGTCCAGGTGGCGCATTCCCACTGGCTGATGATGTGGTATTTGGTGAGGTGGGAACAAAAGTACAGACGAGTAATGATGATGATGATGATTTGATGTAGCGCAGCTTCGAACGAAAGGGACAAGAGAGAACAAATCTCAAAACTATC